ATATATATATATATATATATTAGGGCTGTCAGTTTAATGCATTAACTTAATTAATTAGTTATAAAAAATAACGCGATTAAAATATGTTAACGCAGTTAATGCACTGGCCCCACCCCCAGATCTGTACATCGTCTTACATTTCATATAGTTGGCTGTTGACAAATATGATGCAGGGCAACAACTCCATAAAGTATGTTGCAGTTATGCCCTAAAATTCAAGATACTGGTGCAAAAATGCCCTTGTATGTGTTTTTGTCTCATTTTTATATCGAGCAGGGAGAGCAGTAGGCTATTACACGAGTGCTGATTTTGTCCCGAATATCACAAGTTTAAATGTGATTTTATACAACAGTTCAGTAAATAAGAAGTTGATATTGTGTTATATTTTAAACACAATATTATGTGGTTTTGCTCAATTTTGCAAATAATATATTACCTTTAAAGCCATAGCAGAATTGTTGTGCATCTCCGAGCAGCACAGCGGTGTTTAGTTTCTGAATGAATCTGCGCTTTGAACGAATCGTGTGAATCAATGATTCAAAGGCCCATTCATAAACAGCCCATTTACTTAATTCCTGAATGAATCAGCCGTTTGAACGAATCAAATGAATTACATTTACCGCCACCTGCTGGCAGATTTAGTTTCTTATTTAGAGTATCATTTAATAATAATAATAATAATAATAAAAACATTAAAGGGATAGTTCACTCAACATTTTTTAAATTCTGTCATCATTTACTCTCCCGTCCCTCATATTGTTTCAAACCTTTCTTTTGTGGAACATAAAAGAAGGTATTTTCAAAGACTATAGAATACCATTAAAGGGACTTTGGTATTTTTAAGACTGTTGGTAACGAAGCTGTTTTGGTTACCAATGACCAGTGTTGGGGAAAGTTACTTTTAAAAGTAATGCATTACAATATTGTGTTACTTCCTAATTGCGTTCAGCTGTTTTTATTAATTTTGAGGAAAACTAAATCTGATTTGAGTGAAATGAATGAATGCTTGTTCACATTTATTCTAGAACTAAAGTAACATCTTACTCCCGATTTCTCTCAACAAGGGGACAGGAGAGCTTTCAATCAATAAATGGGGAAAAAAGTAACTGGCGTTACTTATTTGAAAAAGTAACTCAGATATTTTCTTATAAATTAAAAAGTAATGTGTTACTTTACTAGTTACTTGGAAAAAAAGTAATCTGATTACGTAACTTGCGTTACTTGTAATGCGTTACCCCCAACACTGCCAATGACTTTCATTGTATGAACAAGAAATACTGAGATGTTTCTCTAATTATCTTCTTTTATGTTCCATAGTTTGTTAGGCCGTTGTAGCCTAAATGTTTGTGTAATATTTTTTTTTGTTGAATCAAATAAAATGTTTCTAAAGCTACAATTTGTAATCTCTACTTGATACTTTCTCATTTAACACAAAAATATCTTTAAATAATCGTTTGTGGGTAATTTCACAGTCAAATTTATTTTGCGATTAATTAGATTAATTAATCGAAACATCATGTAATTAATTAGATTAAAAGTTTTAATCGACTGACAGCTCTAGTAATTATATTTATTATTCTTATCTAAATGTATAGTATATTGATAGAAATGTTTTTGATCAATGAGTTAAAAATGATTGCTGAAATGTGACCTAAACAAAATCTTAAATATTTCTTTCTCACATTGTCATAATGACAAAAAACACTCTTTGGTAAGTTTGGTATTACCATTTTTGGTATTATGTGTAAACTTAAATAGACTTGGTCTTTTTCCTAATCACCAAATAAAAAGGACAATGGTGACACCAGAATAGAAATATTCATGATTCTGCTTAGCTGAAAATACAGAATTATGTTAGACACACATGCTCTGTTACAGACTACATACATTTCAAAATAATGCAATACATTTTTTCAAAAATATTGTCACTTACTTAAAAAAAATAAAATACATGTTTATGGCAGTGCATGATTGTACAGTAAACTAATGTAGAACCTATTTGAATTTACTGGTAAAATTAGATACTGTATATATAGTGGTTCTTTTTTTATTAAATTAAATTGTATTAAGTTATTATAATTTTTATAATATTATTATAATGTAATGAACACTCTACATTTTGAAAACTGATTAAAAAAAATGAAATTCCTAATATTAATTCCAATAATTCTGTTTTATTAAATTCAAATTCTATTAAAACAACAAAAACAGCAAAAAAAATGTGCACGGCTGCCAGGTTGTGAATATAATGTAAAATGCAGACCAAAACTGTGTTACGAGAGTGGGCAATGTAGATGTTGGCAAGCTCATATGGTATCCCAAATTGTAACCTACCCACCACCTCGTTATGAGCCAGATAATCTTTTGTACTAAGACTAAGATCAAAATATATGGATGTAAATATTTATTTATTTATAATTATTTGTAACTGGTCACATACTATTTTTTTTATTTATTAATAGTACCTCAAACTACTCCTTTTCCAATCATTTAGACTTTTAAAAAAAACAAAAAAAACAACGGATAATAAAATTGGCCAAGAAGTCTCATACTGTAGACATGGCTATTCAGACAACCTTACAAAACCCCACCAGTGCCCTCCTTAACATTGAAAGTGTCGAATCAGCGTGTGACAGGAAGTTGTGCACACGACATGGCGGTTTAACAGGAAGCCTCGGGCCAACGCTGGTCCATCTCCTCTCCCAGATGTTACACGCGGTGGGTGTTGATCGCTGACCCTTTTCAAAGCATCTCTATTTTTCTTCTAAACATCAGACCCTCATTAGCAACCAAACAATGAGTAAAACCGCTATTGTGGCGCCCCTGGATCCCGCATCACAGGAAGAAAGACCACATCCCTTCATTGTGTCTCTGTCTATCCTCAGTTCATTTGCACTGTAGTGTCTGCTCATCAAAGGCCTTGGGTTTAGACGGGTCACCTACACACACGTGTACGTGCCTGTGTTATGTGACTGCTGCCAAGCAATTCATAATCGTTATTACAAACAGTCATTTCTCCCATGCATTACTTCCTCAATGAGGTTTTTGATGGCTAAGATTGTACATATCAGGCCAGAACTTCTCTATTAATCAAATTCCCTAGAGCCTTCTATATAATATTATCATTGCTATTTTATTTTATAATAATATATATTGAATTTGAAAAATAAATGCAAGTAGTATTATATCTCATTTTTATAATATATTAATTATTATTATTTATTTATTTTTATTACTTAAAACATTGTGTGTTACATTGCAAAATTAAAACTCGTGCATGGTTAAATTTGGGGTTTATTTATGGATTTAGCTGCTTTGTACTTTGTTAAATCTTTGCTGTCCCAGATCTGTTCAAGAAGAGCAGCTGTATGTCATTGACACTGACTATTATTGGACCATTAATTCTCGTTAGGCACAAAAAAAACGTCATAAAGAGCTGCACTGCAGTATCTATTCACAGAGAAAAACCTCCTCCATTTTTCCACCCTATTCAAATTCAAAGTGGGTTAGCTGTGCCACTGCTTAGCCAGGGTAAATTACGGCAGAAATGCGACGGCAGGCAAAAGGAAAAATGACACACTCGAGAGAAATATTTTTCAGAGAATGGAAGAGTATGAACAGATATAATGACAGTGTTGAGTAGATTTCACCATCTGCCTTTTTAGAGGATATGAGTGTGAGTGTGTGTGTGTGTGTGTGTGTGTGTGTATTTATATTTCATTCCAACTAACGAATGTATCCAAACCTGAAATACTCTCCATAAACACCCACCTTCATACAGTATTCGTCAGTTTCTTTTACCACCCACTGTCAGCACAAAATATACCATCTTAATTCCCAAAGAGCAGATTTGGCTAATGATCAGCCATTAGCAAAAATAA